ACATCTGCTTAAGTTAAAAACAAAATTGCTTAAGATACGGTTTGAAACACCTGTTCTGACCAGTGTTGCCAGATTGGGTGGGGAGGAAAATCCTTAGGTGGGCAGATAATATTTGAGCTACTTTCAACAGGTTTGGGCAGATTTTGTTTCACACCAATCATACATTTCATTCAATAAATAAATCAAACAAATGTCGTTCCAATTTTAGGCTATATAGCGATCACACCCGGTTGAAGACATGGCCACATGAAAACGCTGTTCTATGTTTTACCAAAGGTTTTACATCACACGTTTTCTCAATCTCGGCAATCTTTTTAAAAAGCCAATAGAATACGTTACAAGATGTTTATTCAAATATTAGGCTAAATGACATGTTTTTCTGTGATAAATGAAAATACTGTTCTACATTTAACATGTTTTCTCAATACTGGCAATGGTTGTAAAAAGCCCAACAATGGATTGCAAAACGTTGTTGGGCTGTTTTTTGCTGAAGAGGGCGGGCTTTCGAACGTGAATGGGCGGAAATCACTCAAACCAATCTGGCAACACTGGTTCTGACGAATAAAGCCTCATCAAACAGCAATTTTCAAAGGTAAACCAACCACTATAACAAAGGTGCATTGTGTAACTTTTCTAGTACAGGGTCTGCCAAATACTTTTCTCCATTGAGATGTTATTGCTTTGCCTGGAATGTTTCACAGTATGGCATTAAACCTTTCTATCATCATGGAGACCAAACCAGACCAAGTTTCAGGTCAGATATGTGGAGAGGCGGCCCCGCTCACAGTCAGGATGCCTGTTTTTCTAGGTATTTTTGAGCTATACAATCACATTCCAGGCAAAGCAATGACATATCCATAGAATAAAAAGGTGCTGGACCCCCAACCAAAAAGTTACATACAGCATCTTTAATATTTTATAATAACTTTTGTTCCTACTGCTCTAAAACTCCCGTTAAACCACATTAGATGAGCTCTCCCAGTCTGATAGCTTTCCACATGTTGAAGGTGTTTACTTCTCCACAATCTTCTCCGTAGACCTCCCGCTACCTTCTGCTTTGGGCTCTTCCAATCTGCCATATTTGGGCCTCATTTACACCTAACCATCTCATTCTCACACTCAAATCTGTTATTTAGCCCTTCTCCCTCGCTGCTCACAGATTTTCACAAACCAGAACAAAACCAGGAACGCAGACACACAAAAGCGCCCTGGGACTTCGCTTTCTTCTCGCAGATCTTAAAACCGCGAGGCTTGGTAATCGCATCGTCTTTGCTTCTTGATGCTCACTTCACAGAATCTCTATATCTGTTCCTCTGTTTACTAAAGACCATATTCTAGCTCTTATTTATGGATTAATGCGTTCGGCGTGTGTGTCCTTTGTGGTTAGAGCAAGGAGCTAGCGTTTCTTATCAGATTTAAAAGTCTAAATCGTGTAATCTGCCCACTTAAGGCTGGCTAAATGAAAAGGATGTTGGTAAATGATGAAACGCCATCTTAAGTAATCCGTCTCCTTTCTGTTCACAATGTACACAATTCTGTATTTACTTTGAGAATTACATCTAAAGAGCTCATTTGATGTTTCATTTGGGCTGAGGTACCAAAGTCGGCATTGTTGTTTTAACCTTAAAGGGGCTATATTACGCTATATTCTACGCTATAATGTTTCCTCATCACAAACATACCTGGGCTTGTGTTTTGTTTCTTTGAACATTATTAACACATAAACACTGCATATTTAGGCTGAGTTTTTCCTCTCAAATAGAAAACAGGCTGTTCTACCTTGTGATGTCAAGAGGTAATACAGGAAGTGCTCCACTGTGTTTTTAAACTCCACATGCCTTCACTAGAATTGGATAATTTCAGTCCTGGAAATGCAAATCTCTGCTGCACGAAAGGTAAAAAGTAACTGTTAACTTACCACTTCATGACATCACGAGGTGGAACAGAGCATTTTGAGCTTTGGTGGCGTAGACAAATTAAAGGCGGATTTATATTTCTGTGTCGTCTCAACGCACACTGCCGCCATCGCCTTGTCGCTGTCGTTTTTTGGTTTATGGATCTGCGTTGAGGTGTATGCGCTGTGAAGTAATTCATCGCCACAACGCAAGGAGGCTAGGATTTAAAAATGGAGTTCATGTTTACAGAATGAAGTGGGAAAGCGGAGTACTGGAAATGTATGTAGAGCAGATGTAGAGAGGACCAATCACAGCCCTTAACTGTAACTACAAAATTTCAGAGCAAGTCGGTCGACATAGACGAGGGTTCAATGCGATGCAGATGATTTGACGCACGACCATAAACTGGCCTTAATAATAAAGAGTTACTCAAACATGTGTGAATGAAACAAAACACAACTTCAGGTACGATTTTTGATGAGGTAACAGTATTATAACATGGCTTAAAGCTCACATTAGTCAATTTTACGTAACATAGAACATTTAAACACGTAGACTTTTTGAGTTCTGCTTGTGTGCTCTTTCCCTGTCCAGACCAGAACAGCACAGACCAGACTGAAGATGATCCATGACACAGATAGTGCACTGGCCTTGATGAGAGCTGCATATTTGTGATAGTTTGTCCTTTTTTGGCGTTGGGCTGCGGGTCCAGATATGCTTGTGGTGTGAGAAGGGGTATGCACTTGCAGGATGTGTGTGTGTGTGTGTGTGTGTGTGTGTGTGTGTGTGTGTGTGTGTGTGCGTGAGAATGGCTGTCTCCCTTGTTCAGAGGTGATGCAGTCTGGGGCCTCCTGACAGTGGCGAGGGCTCCCAGGGGCTCCTCACAGAAGAGCTGGTAACGTCCTTGTGTCACTTAGACCAGGTCATAGACTGTATAAAGAAATGGACTAAGGGACTGTGGCATCACCCATAGTGTTCAGCTCCAGTCAAATGAAGCTCATGATGGTAGCGGCTATTGGGTGAATTTGGAGCCAGTTCCATATAAGGAATAAAACTTTATCTACAGACAAAATAGCAAAATAAAACCACCAGGATCATGTAGAGCAAGTTAATACGGACATTTTAAGACCAAAATGAGGAAGCTCACTGCAGCAGTTACAGAAAGGAGTGACAGTTTTCCAATGTAAAGTCAATGGATGTATCATGAATTTCGGACTTCCGGTCATTGCGCAATGCATACTGGGAAGGATTTTCTGAAGAAGTGAGCATCAAATCACCATGTTTGTTTTCCCAGTGCGATTCTTCTATTAACAAAGCCAGTCTTTTCTAGTCTTTTGAACCGTAACGCTTTTGTTTCTGGTTCTGATACTGTCATATTTTACTTTTGGAATTCGGACATTGAAATGGTGTGGTTGTTGGATGTCCTAACAGCGGAAAACAGCTTGAGAAATTTGTTTGCGAACTTCATAACTGCAAAAGGGAATCAGATGTGTGACTGCAAACCTCCATTCAAACTATTTCCCAGTATGCATTGCACAATGACCGGAAGTCTGAAATTCGTGCTGTATGTACTGGAAACAAAGTTGATGGAGCCAGAAGAGCTCCCATGAACACTTCCTTTGGAACGCAGTGGTTAACGGGTTAGCTATACCCATTTATATATACAGTCTATGGACCATTGCCAATATAAACATGAGGATATCTTGAAGCAGAGTGTCCACCACAGATATCCTATCCCCTTTAGAGCTCAAACCAGCTTCTTCCACCTTGTGATGTCATTAGGTGAGAATCCGGGAAGTGTTTCTCTGTTTTTCTAAAAGCGCTAAAAACGGTTTTGCAGTGTTATTCCTCACTTACCTTACGCATTCTGAGCATCTTAATTATTCGTTACAATGGATTTTAAAGCGCTTTCTTGATTATTGGAGAGGAAAAAGATTTATATATTTGATGCAGACAGTACACAGCAGGCATGTTTTGATCTCAAGAGCTGCTTATACAATAGCAGTACTATGGCAAGACATATTTTGCATACATGGGAGAAAAACTCTGGTTACATTGTCGCTCAGATCACCTTCACTTTGCCGTTTTTTTTTTTGTTTTTTTTGAGTAGCAGCTCTTGTTTATAGCTTCATTTGATTACTTCCCTCCTGGCAATTGCATTTTGTATAAGCACAGAAAGTAGGACTAATTACTTTTTACTTGTAATTATATATTATTAAAGCTCAAGGTAAAGTTCTAGCAATTTTAACTAATGAGATTTTTTTATTTATTTATTTTTTTTTTCATTTTTCCAGTGGCAAAGTGGTTAAATTCATTTTGCATCATATACCTTAAATAGGTGATATTATGCAAAATTGACTTTTTGGAACTTTCTATCATGTTTTAATCTAATCAAAAACATGCCTGAAGAGGTTTGAGATATCATCCATACATGTTTGAGTAATCTTGCGATCTCTCCAGGGCACTACTCGAACCCTCCTTGCATTTAGCTGTAAGATTTTGTGCATTGCTCAGCCCAAAGCCCATGTCATCCATGCTCCCACATGACAATTCTCCATAAATATTAAAAAAAACATGACACAAAACTGTACACAATAACTTGACAAACCTGATGTGATTTGCAGCGGGTTCATTAGCGGGAGGCACAGCGATTGTGTTGTGGTAGCGCTCTGAAAGGGGCGGTGCTTAGTGTGGGGAGAAAAAAGGATGGGGGTTTCAGAGCGTCAAAAACGAAAGTGAAACTTATTAAACATGTTAAATTGGTGTTTTTGGCGAATGTTTGACTTTAAAAACAATAAAAGGTAACATGGCGATCTAAATATGTTATGAATTAGAAGTTAATACACCATAGAAGTAAAATACTCCCACTGAAATACTACTCAGTACTACTCAGATGTTCACATTTTTTGGATTTTCCTCTCTTTAAGTTCAGTCCAGGCCACTGCACTGGATGATTGTGGCTTCATCTGGACTGAGGAGAGCCTTGATTGTGCCGCACTTGTTACTGGAGTTTTACTGTGCACGAGTTGCAAAAGTTCCTTGACAGACTGAATATGTGATGTTGCTTCATTTATTTAATCTTATTTTTTTTTTTCTGTTTTTCAGGATGCTGCCCGGAAAGGTTTGATGGATAAGATACATATGGTGCAAGAAGTTGTGCTGGCGGTCCAAAATGTCCTGGAGGAGATCGCAAACATCGGAGAAAGAGTCAAAAAGTAAAAAGAGAATCTGAAAATATTATATACGTGTTTTTAAAGGTGCATTGTGTAACTTTTCTGGTGGAGGGTCCTTCAAATACCATGGAGATGTTATTGCTTTGTCTGGCATGTTTCACAGTATAGTATTAAACCTTTCTCGGCCAAGTTACAGGTCTGATCTTTGGAGAGGCAACTCCTGCTCACAGTAATAGTACAGTAGGTATTTTTAGATATATACCACCTGTAATTGAATAAATGTAAGGTTGAGCTGTTTAATGTCATACTGTGGAACATTCTAGGCAAAGCAATGGCATATCCATAGAAACAAACAAGCGACTGACCCCCAACCAAAAAGTTACAGTTTATAGTGCACGTTTAACTCAATACTTGATCAAATAGAGCATTGTGTACATTTTAAATTTTAAGCACAATTGACTAAGAAATAACTGAAATGTCCTATAAAGTACAACCTAAGATAATATTTGACTTTTCGAGTACCACCAGATCCAAACCTGGACTTTATTAGGTCTAAACCAGGCCTAAAATGAGACTAAACCATGGATAAGCTGGTTCTAAATAATGATTCCCTCAATGGAGTCCAAAAACTTGAATAGTTGTGTCTATAAATACTACCACCAAAAGCAGCCCATCAGTACTACACACTTTGAGTACCACTGAAACAGAACATTACATGATCAGTAGTTCATTATTGAAGCACTGGGCCTTATAAATTACAGTATTAAACATGTACATATTAGAGATGGGATGAGACACAATTTTCACGAAACAAGATTGGATCCACAAGAATGAAACAAGATGAAATTTTGACATAATTCCAATCCATTTCACAATTTTGGCTTCTTTCTTTTTATTTATTTTATGTAATACTTTAGTGCTCATTGTATGCTGCTTTTTGAAATTGCAGTTTCTTAAATTGTACCAGCTCTTATCTCTTTTTCTGTCCAAGCCAAATGTAAATTCAGGTGGAGAAAAGTCTCACCAGATCATTTTTCTCATGTGTGCACGATCTTGTGGCAATTTTGTCTCACAAGATCTTGTGCCACGAGATTTTGTCCCATCCCTAGTACATACAGTATTTATTTATATTGCAGTAATTCAAATAATGTTTCAAATAACCTTAGACCATACAAATCATTCTGAAATTATTCATTTTGGGTTTTTTTTGTTTCACAGTATATTTAACTGGTCCGTGCCATTCGTGTCGTGCCTGGCCTGTCTGGTGCTGTTTGTGGCCACCACTCTGCTCTACTTCTTCTCCCTCAGATACCTGGTGCTCATCTGGGGTAAGCCTGATTTTATGAAAATACATGTTTGAGAATATGATTACTCAGATGATCAAGTTATATTCTTTTTAAGTTAAAGTATTACTTGATGAGAACATATGAAAACTGCGTGCATGAAAAATACTACTCAGAATAGTACAGTGATACAGTAATGTCTTTGATCTAGAAGTTGCAAGTACATGCTTAAAATCTTCTCAATTACAGTAATGTGTAATTACTTTCCTCCACTGGCAACCTATAGGTCAAGATCTATAGCTTCAGATCTGAAGCTGTAATTCTAGTTAGGACTACCTAGCTGGAAAATTATCTTATTTTACTTACGTTATATTTTCTATGATGTTGCCAGCTCTTTTTGATTCCAGATTTAATGACATAGTACCCTAATTATAACATGGTTAATTTTTTATTTATTTTTGTCTTCATTTTGGATGTTTTTATTGGACTGAAAAACACAGAAAAACTTGCATCCTTACTCTAGGCGCACTTGAATTTCCACAAACCTGACAAGGGCCTCCTCCCGCTGGTTTCCATGCGATGTGTTCCTTTTTTTTCTGCTATCGTCTGTGGTGTCGTGGGTATTTTTTAAGTGGGGGTACGCAATTCATACAAAACTCAAAACACGTCATCAATGTGGACCCCCCCGCAAACAAACATAAAGGTGCCAGCCCATTAAAAATCAGTAATATTTGATGGGGTTTTTTTTACTCAAAATGATGCAGCATTTATAATCAACTACAGAACATAAATCATAGGCTACAACACATGTGCCCAGGACTAAACCAGGACTAAACCAGGACTAAACCAGGACTAAACCAGAACTAAACCAGAACTAATCTTGGACTTGAGAGTGAGAGAGAGACCCCCGAGCAGGATGTCCGCAAAGCGCGATCAGGTAATGGCTGCGCTTAGCCTTGTGGGGCGCGGAGATTTGCGGTCACCTGACTGTCTAAGCGGGGGCACCTCCAGACCCATCCTGATAGTCCTGGTTCAGTGCTGGTTAAGTTTTGGTTTAGACCTGATTTAGTCCTGGTTTGGTCCTGTTTTAGTCCTGGTTTAATCCTGTCTTAGTCCTGGTTCGGTCCTGGTTCAGTCCTGGTTCAGTGCTGGCTCAGTCCTCTTTAGTCCTGGTTTAGTCCTGGTTTAGTCCTGGTCCCCTTATGTCTCAGATCACTGTAGGACAATACTGGAGATATCATGAGCCTATGCAGGTTGTTTTCACCATTGTCGATAGCTCTGGTTTGACATTTAAGTTGTAGGCTATTTTGTATTTGTTATTTTTTTATATCTCACGTCGGGAGAAGCGAGTGGACGGCGTACTCCCGCGTCCCACGTCCACTACACCCCTGATTATCTTGATGCAGCTCTTCCAGAAAGTTCCACAGTGTCGCTTTAAAAGTAAATGAAACATGTCAGCTACCATAACTAGGGATGGGCATTCAATGAAATTTTCTTAATCGATCGTCGGAAGAATTAACGATCGATTATCGATTAATCATTAACGTTTTTATATTAAAATGATCATCATTATTATTACTATCTGCATTACTAATCTGCATAAATAAATTCAACTTTACGACATATAAACCGTAACGACTCTAGAGCCACATCAATCCGTTTTAGATTATAATTGTGTTTAATTCAGTTTTGCGCAACTCTCACAGAAACGAAACTTAAAACCGCATCGCTAATTTGCATAAACTCAGCGAAGATAAAACTACAGCTCTTGTGTCGCTGATGCGGTCAATTTCTGTTGGATTAAAAGACATGACTCAGTGGAATACAGGTTAGTGTGACCATATTTGCGTTTGTCAAAACCAGGACACCGTACGGGGGAGGGAGGTGGGGACTCGTCATCGACATTGCGCGACTCTCACCTGGTAAAGCTTTTTCCCACTGGACACAGAAACATATGTGCTGCTTTGTTCACTGTGCACATGGACTCACACTTGTCCCGAACGCAACGGAAAGCGTGGAATTTCTTGTATAAGTCATCGTTAAATACGCATTTGTGCTTCGGTACGCTGCAGACTGACCGACTGTTTGTGTTTGCTCGCTCCTTCTGAGTGCAGAGAGACACATGTACGGACCCCTGTTTGGTCACGCTACGCACAGCAACCTACATTCGATTTGTCGATTAAAATGAACGTAATCGATGAAATTCTTAATGATCAATTATCGATTAATCATGCCCATCCCTAACCATAACACTATTCTTACTCTAGCTGCATCTTCGGCCACTCTCCCCTTTAACCTCTCCAAACTCGTATCCACCACACATCGTAATAAACTCCACTTCTAATGAGACAGCCGCAGCTCAGAGTGGGCCTGCACAAACAAAGCCTTCCATGTTCACCACTATGTCCTTGGGCATCTGCTCCCCTGGTCCTCCCTCTCATTATCCACACCGCCGTACCCAGCGCGCTATAGCATCTCAGTGGTCAGAAACTCCTCCACATCCTCCAGCAAACAGACCGATGCCTACCGCCTCTCCTCAGCGCGCCGATCGATACCCAAACACATGCTATCAAACGCGCTCCTGTTAACCCCGGGTCTGCTGGGAGGAGGAGAGCCTTTCAAGCCCCCCGCCAGCGCATGGAGCTCCCTGGGTTGTGCGTGCGGAGGGGATGTGCGCTCGCTAGCAACGCTCCCAAAACGCTCAAAAGTAAATATAGAGAGATTGTCAGGGTGGAGGAGACAAAAGACAGAAAGTTTAGAGAGTGTATTCTGTGCTATACTTAGATCTGTCCTGACATCTTTAACTGCTAGAGTAGATGTGTTGGAATGTATATCTGAAAACGTGGAATACAGAACTAGTTTGTTTTAATCGGTTTGTAGTGGTCCAAAGTTACTCCTCATTTACTTTATGCATTCAGAGCATCCTAATTATTCATCGCAATGAGTTTATAAGTGTCACAGCAAAGCAAACAACAAATACCATGCTAAAGATGACAGCATTTTCTGATTTTTGGACAATAAAACACTTTTTAATTAGACACAAACAACATGCAGCACTCATTTTGACCCAATATATCTGTACTGGGACAAGAGACATTTTATTCAAATACATGGAAAAATTAAGCTGTATGTAGGTAGCTTTTCTACCACCTGCTTGTGTTCATGGAGATGTCTTTGTTTTGTCTATAATGTTTCACAGTATGGCATTAAACTATCTATGTACTAGTATGTTGAATTTCTTTAGTTACAGGTATTGCTAAAAATATCTTGAAAAACAGAGCAGGAAAACACAAACAGTTTTGAAAAAAGTTTTGGTGATGTGGTGTCAGACTAGAAAAGTTTCATGATACACGTTTGAATTAAGTCCACCACACAATACAGGAGAATTTGCCCGATTTTGGCTGCGATTTGCTTCTCCCCGAGTTCAGGGAGGCGTTACCCAACTTTGTGTCTTCGTGTGCGATTTTAAATCCGCTGTGCTCCTCATGTGACGCTGAGCTGCTCTGTCAGATCGTAACCACCAAACATTAGCAAAGCTAATAAAAGCCAATAAAACAGTGTCATGAGCAGACAGAGTGACAGACACAGAGGTCCAAGATACAAACGCAGGATATAGTGAAAATAATTATTACTCAGTCACCTCTCGCAAAGTTGTAAATTTAAAGTGCATCTCATCCGCATTATCCATAGAAATTGTCCTCAAATAATGACATCCTGTCCACAAAACTGCGCTATTAATCCAGTTTGAGGCATTTTTTGAAAGTAGAAAGGTGAGAGTAGTTCCTCATGTATGTCTGTTTACATCCACTCAGCGCTTGTTTCGGGCTGAAGCTGCAGATTAGCAGTAATGACTCTACTTCCTGTGTACTTTACCACCAATCATTTATGCTTTAAAAATCATGTATCTGACGTTTTGCACCACATTTCACAAAGAATAATAACACAGTTTTGACTTGTAGCTAAACTAGAAGTGCAATGCTCTGATCTATTGAACACTTAAGAGTCTCAAAGCAAGTCGTTTTACTGTAGACAGGAAACAGCAGACGCGAGGTGCGTTCACAACTTTATAGCCTGTGGTCTGCGGCCATATCCTGCTGAAGTGTTTGCAATCGGAGATTTTAAGCCTCATAAGATTCTCCTTGTGTATGTGGTGTGCACTTTTTGTTGCACATTTAAAAATCGTTTAAGACTAAAAAATCCTGTAGTGTGTGGTGGCCTTTACAACAAACAGTGCTGCTGATGGATAAACATTGTCAAATTGCTTGTTCTTGTTGTTGGGTCCTTGGGCAACACCCTTCTCTCACTTTGCCTGTATGTATGGTGAGCGTTAAACTTCACACTGATCACCAGAACTACTGCTACTACTATTACGAACAACAGTGAATATCATTATGTGTGTGTAACTATGAGGCTTGTGCTAGTATCTTGACATTGTGGAACCTTTGCTGTCCTCATCTGAATATTTGGGTTTAAAAATACTCTGCTTACTGGGACACCTTTATTTATTAATGCGTTCTTGTTTTCACAGGCGTTAACAAATTTACCAAGAAGCTGCGCAACCCATATACTATTGACAATAATGAAATACTGGATTTCCTCAAGAGGGTGCCTTCTGATGTTCAAAAGGTAAGGGTCCAATTTTACATACGGACGGGAAGAAGAGGGAATTCCCAGAAGGTGTCGGCATTATTTGCTGTAGCGCAATTCCCAAGTGTTGCGGAAACATATCCCCCGGCTTTGTTTGATTATTAATGGATTCACTGCTCTGGCCCAATTATACACGAGGTAGAATCCTAGCGACGGGGGGAGCTGCTTAGATCTTTCCGGTATAGCGTATTGCACCAGCCCGGTCTGTTATTAGCGTTTTGATGGAGGTTTGATGGAGAGCAGCTGTTTGGCGTGGATAGGTCACGTGACGCTTCGTGGGGAGGGGGGACGGCGAGTGTATAGCGAGTGTATAGTGACTGAAGCGGTGCGCCCCCGGTGGTCGTGCTGGGTGCCATATGTGATCAGATATTAGCCGCAGCGCATGTGTCGTTAGTATTTACATCACAACAACGCTGGAGCTGTCAGGGCAAAGCCAGGGTGGGCCGGCGAGCGGGAGAGGAGAGGAGGAAATGAAGTACCATGCATACACACTATTACACGCGCAGAATCTGACTCCAGGTGACTCCACGGGCAGCTGGGGTAGCAAAGACACTGTCACCTCAGACTGGGCCTCGTGTACACATCTATAACAAAAGATGTAACTCAAAACACACCAAGTCATATGGATAACAGACAAAGATACAGTCCTCTTGTGATGATTGTGCAGTTATAAATAATACAAAAGTTTAGCTGGTTTAAAACTTGAACCAAGGCATAACACTCTTTCTTGTTGTAAAGGTCCCATATTACAGAACTTTAAGTCATGTCGTAATGTTGTTACTTCCTCAAAAACATACCTGGAGTTGTGTTTTGTTTTATTCACACATGTTTGAGTAATCCTTTATTATTAATCTGTTTAAATCTCCTAAGCTCAGAATGCTCTTTTGCACCTTTCTGATGTCATGCAGTGGTAATATTCAAGTTATCAGCTGCACAACTCTAGGTATGTGTTTATGAGGAAACAACTTAAAAACAATGATAAGAAAATATGGTGATACGGGCCCTTTAGGAAAGTTCTAGGTCTTTTCCTCTTGAGTTCCTAGAGGTGTGATTGGCAAGCAGATAAAAAAAAATGTCAAAACAAACATGTATTCATAAAAAATACATATAATTAAGTGATTATTAAATTTTAGAATCACTTAACAACAACCGTAAAATACCAAATAATAGCCGGGTTTCAATTAAACGCCGAGTGCAGGTGTATATTTTGATAAATAGCCCCCAGTTCCAAATAAACGCAGAGAAGTCGTGCCTGCAACAACAGGATGCAGGACTGAGGCTCGCGTTGTCTCTAACATTCTCACTTTGCCTGCTCCCCACTTGCTAAAGAAATTTCTGCATGTTGCGGGAGTGTTTTAATCACGTTCTGTAATTCAGAAGCCGCTTTCAAATGTCGGCAAACTCCCTGCTCCATAGATATTTTGTTGTAATATTTCAGGAAGGAATTAATTGCCTGCCCCAAATTGCCACCTGGTCTCAAATAAATGCCTGGTCTGTTAAGTCACTGAAACAAATTAACGCCCCAGCTATTTGGTATTTTACGTATGAAGAGAATTGGTGATAAAGGGCAACCTTGTCTGTGTCTTTTATGCACTTGGACATTTACAAGTTTGACTTTTCAAATCAACTCTTACTTTAGTTTTACAGAGAATGGACTTCCAGATCATATTTCAAAGATACAAATGTTGATACAAATTAATCCTTTCACCTCAAATGTAACTTCTACTTTACATTCTTCCATGATAGAAACCAGCATTATCCTTGTGTACAGTACATTTATGAGACAGAGAAGGCAGAGTAGTCGGGGCAGTGGGAGTGCATCTGGGTGGTACCACAGCAAAGTAGCAGACTCAAAACCTTAATCTCCCAGGCGCCTCGAACGCACCGCACACAAGCCTGTCACCTCCGTGTTTATGGTGGGGCGGCCTTCATCTCCTCTTCCTCCTCCTCCTCCTCTGTAACCATCTCCGCTGCTCTGTGATGTGCCTCTGCCTGGACTGTTGCAGATTTGGCTGACTGAGCTGGCAAAACAAGGTGCCCAGAACATTTTTGATTCTCATCCTTTGTACGTCCTCCTTCCCAGTGGAATACCAGCGTTTGAGCTTTGAAAAGGATTCGCTTTCAAATTCCGAGGGAGACAATCGTTTTTTTAGGCCGATTTAAAAGACAAAGTACATCTTGAAAATAGCTCCAATCATGAAAACACAAACGGTCTAAAAATGGTCCCGAGCATGTTTCATTGGGCTGTGAAGAATCACCTGAGCATGTGATACACAGGGGAGCGTGGTGTGTTTGTGAGGGCTTAGAAGTGCGCTCAGATAGGTGCGCACAAACAGCACAAAGCACAGACTGACTCTTGTCTTTCTCACAAATGTGACTTGGCAATTAGAGGCAGAGCTCCTCCACAAGGCCCTCTGTCCCACACGCCACATCTGTCACTTCTGAGGACAGCCCATGTTCTGATGCACTCACTTTGTTCCCACGTCCCATCTCCCATTCTAATAATGCAGAGCAGCTAATTAGCATAGCGCACCTTTATCCCACACACTCACAGCACAGTGCAGCTCCGCGGGCTTCAAAAGGCACTCTCATATCCTCCCCTTCTGCCTCTCCTCATATGATCAGTGTTTGTGAATTACAGCTGCAACTTTACAGCGGAAAATACACAGTTTAATAATTTGTGAATGTCAAAGACGTGCAGTTTGCACTTTGTACACAAAGTCATGGGCATGAATAAATGCGTCTCATTTTACGATTGTTTCCTGAGGGATAAAAACTGTTGTGATGTTATATTTAGTGGAGGTTTTGCCTGAAGAAAAGCAGGAGGCACTAGGTCGCTGTGAGGAAAGTTGCTCTGTACCTGTGTGCGGTGAGGACAAACTTCAGTGAGTCTGTAGAGTTGTGCTTGTGCAGGTGGGCAGGTGCTGGCAGGTGCTGTCAGGCGGTCTCAGAGCCTGTTTCAACACTGATGTGGCAGAGGCGGGGGAGTGGAGGACCCTGGCTCTTTAGATCCTCCCCCGGTGTGATTAATCCCCTCTGCTCCACAGTTTAAAACATGATTCATTACAGGCCGGCCTGGCTCTCCGGGCTCTCCTCGCTCAGCGCTCACCTCTCCTCAGGGAGCCATTAGCGTGCGCTCTGCTGAGCTCCGGTTACCTGCTCTGACCAAACTGCTGTTTGTTTGTACAGGTGCAGTACAGCAGTCAGCGGGCGCCTGCGGGAGGGAGCCAGCCACAGAGGAGGAAGAAGTGAGGGGCTCCCCACACCAGCGCTCCCCTCTGCCCCCACGTCTGCCCCTCTCTCTTTACCTGCCCCTGTCCCTACGTCTGCTCCTGTCCCAGTGCCTACCACTGCCCCTGTGCCTACGCCTGCCACTGTCCCCACCCTGACCCCATGCCTGCCCCTGTCTGCTCTTGCGCTTGTGCCTGCCCCCCTGCTCCTGCCCCTGTCTCTGCTCCTGCCCCAGGACCCACCTGACAGGACGGCCCGCTGCCAGCCCACGCTGACCCTACCTCCACCCCCCACAGAGGGCCCGTCCCGCTGCTCTCTGACCCCCCTGACAGGGCCCTCTCTGGGCCTGCACAGCTGGCACATGGTGCTGTCAGTCACAGACCTGGAGGTAAAGAAAAGAGAAGCTTTAGAAATGAATCCACTAACCCTGCACCTCCAGGTTTAGTTTGACTAATGCAGTTCAAATGAAAAATGAAATGTTCTGAAGGTGAAATGACTGCACACTTCAGAAAAATATGGACAGATGTTCTACTCTCAGATCATGTGTATACTTGTATATATTACAAACTATTTTATAATTATGAAATAGTAATTATTTTACTATTAAAATGAGTGAACTGAATTTATTTCTATATTTGACGTGGCAAAAATTCTCTGCACATAAATGACACTTTAATAACCAGATGTTTCTTGTTGTATTTTGAACTCTCATGTTACTGTTGAGGATTATGTAGACATTCTGAATAAAGAGCGTGATCAGTCGAATCCTGGTTGTAGATGACTGCAAAGTGCACACAACCATCACACATGCACACACGCACACACACACACACATGCACACGCACACACACACACACACATATACTCAGACACATACTCAGACAGATCACTTCAAAGAGCCTCAATCTAATGCTTCACTGTCACAAACACAGCCCCAGACTCTGCTCCTCCTCCGCTCCTCATCCTCTGCTCTTCTTCATCAGATGTCCTCACCTGGGCTCTCTGATGCACTGCACTCTGCCCTTCCATAACCCTGTCAGGAGTGAATTTCAGACTATACACAACTAAACATATTGTAACAAATCTTGACTATATAACATGCAATTTCAATTTCAGAGCAGAAATCATTGAACACTTCTGTTGACAAAAGACAAGCCCTCTTTAAATGTGACATAAAGTGGAGTTGTGTGAAGTGAGGCTTGGACCCCAGCTCTGGGAGTGTGCTGGGGGTGAGGAGGGGGGTAGTCCCTCTCAGCAGTGGCTTGCTGCTGAAAGAGCATCCATCTGTGCTTTGTGAGGAGTTTGATTGGCTCACAGGGACCCACTGGAGCCCCGGGCTATCTCTTCTGACAGGCTGATAGAGACATCACTGCGCTCTCCCAGGAGCTGCCACCAGGGGTCCGTTTCAAAGTGAGAGGCTGTGGAGGTGACCCCGCGCTCCTGACGAGCAGATCCCACACACTGGCACAGACCCTCTGCATTCTTGGCTGTGCTGGGGCTCAGGGGGCGTGAGGGGGGCTTTTGGCGGTGCGGGTAGGGGAGGGAGGGGACCGGCAGTTCACCGGCAGGCCCAGATCAAGTGTCCCCAAACGGAGAAACCAATTAGGCAGCACTCCCTGGACTCCCCTCAAACATTTTAGAGAACAAAAGGGCCATTAAAACTTTCAGAGTATTACCTGTAAAAATGTCTCATTAAATTAAGAACATGTTAACGAAAGTAAAGTTATTTTTTATGTAAAATTTAAATAGTCATTATGAAGTCCAGGAGGAGCAGTTCAGTTCCCTGAGGTGAGAGGGGAGTGTGCAGTGGAGTGTCTGAGCAGTGAGGGAGTGACATGTCAGTGTCTTAAACAGGATGGAGGGTCTGAAAGAGAGAGTCGATGATTGGTGCATATTCCTGCACGTACACACACTCACTCACACATGCACACACACTTAAGTTGTTATTTATCGCAGTCCCATGGGAGTGCTGGCTCTCTGCACAGGGTGTCTGGGTGCATCTGCTCTTCATTGGGACAGTTGTTTTACACGTGGCTGATGCAGATTTGAGAGACACTTTGCGTGTGATCAGTGCAGCTCTGGTGCTTGTTGTGCTGTAGACAGTGATGTCTTCATCAGGCTGTCACAATCCGAGCCCCAGCGGCGGAGCCTCCCCAGAGCCTGTCACACGCCTTGTTTCCATGGCACTCCTTCAGGCAGCACCACAGGCAGTGTGTGCACGGACCGTACAACCTGTTCTCTCCTCCAGCGCTCCTCTGATGTGCAGCCCTGGAGCGGGCGGCTCATAGCACAACACAAGCACTGCTCTGTGTGAGAGGCTTCACGAGCCAGCGAGCCACACAAACAACTCCTCATTTTAATAAGGAACAACGCGGCTTCTCTGCAGTAATGTAGACATGAGTGGGCCTTCAGGTCCTCAGACCTCCCCAGAGAGCACAGTCACAGCAGAGTGAGAGTCAGAGTCACAGCAGAGGCAGTCAGAGCAGTCAGAGCAGTGTCAGAGTCAGAGCACATGAGAGAGCATTGGGAAAAACCATCAAAATGACCAGTGTCCACCTGCATTGTTCCTGTTGCTTGTAAGAGGAAGTTAGAAGGTCAGAGCTCTGCTTCAAACGAGAGAAGCATAGGTGGCTCCACCTCCAAACACCAGCCCTGCCTCCAATAAATCCAACCCTGAACTCCTCTGCACAAGGTCTTGCTAGTACTAAAAATATTATTACTATGTAATGAGCCCTGCTTGCTGATCTGACAACGTGAGTCTTCAGGAAGCCCAGATAAAACTTGTTCCTTATTGTTCCACAGTGATGCTTTCAATGTTCAGAATCTGACTAAAGAGGCTGCGTCCCTCTCAAAGCCTGTCCTCTCTGTACCACACAGGGCAGTACGTGTGTGTGGATGAAGTGGAGCTAATCAGAGCTGGCCGGGTGCTGGGCTGAAGGGGCAGAGGGATCACACCGAACAGCACATGCACACTCGCTAATAGGCCCCGTTTTCTGCCGCTACACCGTGCTAATAATTCATCTCCACCCGCAGAGCACAACGGTGTTAAGACGTGGCAATGGCCGTAGCTCTTTACAGCATCCAGAAAAGAGGAATTAAATCATTGGCCTTTAAAAGCATCTCTCTGAGGGGCCCGCACATTAATACATTCAACCCATTCACTTTAATATTATTCCGTGAGCATTAAAACGAAGACAACAGCTGGGATGGTGCCCAGTCTCAGGAGGACGGGAGGGTGAGGGGATGTGGAGCAGGTCTGAGCTTATCTGAGAGGCAGAGTGTGTGGAGGCTAGAGCACATCTATGGACGGAGATTTATCACATTGTGGGGACTGAAATACATATATACTCACTTTATGTGGACTTCATTCTTTACTTATGGGGAGAAAAATTAGGTTCCTATTAAGTAAATCCTTAATAGATCAATGACATGTTTTAAAGTTCAAATATGAGCTAAAATAGGTTAGGTCTGAATTTTGACAAAACATTTAAATGAGTGACTGCACAGCCAAAGCGCTCACTGAATACAGGATTTTAATTCCCAGCATGCCGTGTTCTTCACAGCACACTATGTAAACTTGACTCATACTTCCGAGTAAGCAACAGTGAATACCCAGCACACCACTGAGCCATTGGAGCTTTAGTTGAAGAAAATGTCATGCTTATTTAGTTGCTGAATAAATCAGTTTTCAGTTTAGTCAACAATATATTTTTTAATGTTAGCTTTAATAAATTGTGTTTAGTATATAATAGTATAGTAATAGTAATTGAGCATTTCATCGACATCACTGGCATGACGTGTTCTTGGGCCGTGAGTTTGTTTATGGTTTGATTTGGGACTATGTGCAATTTGACTCTAGTCTTCACTAGTCAGACAGGCGCCACCTAGTGCCTCTGCTCAATTTCATGTCTCTCCAGCGACTAGGCCAGGAATCAGAATATACTAGACGCTTTGTGAGAACGCAGACGTGCGAGTCCGGGCATAAGCCAATCAGGGAAGAGTCATACATTCTGTGTTGGCAACGATTCCCGAGATCAAGGATTTAAAGCCAGAACAAAGAGAATGTTTGGTGAATTTTATCAAAGGGAAAGACGTTATTGCCCTTCTTCCTACGGGATTTGGGAAGAGCTTAATATACCAGTTAGCCCCGTTAGCGGTGCATTACATACGTCATGACCAAATAGCAGCGATTATTTAAATAAAAAAAGTCCCCACCTACTATCGAGCGAACAAATCCTATTGCTACAAGGCAGTATCGATATTGTGGGCTGCTGTAGCAATATATCAGCAGGAGTATTTTTTGTATATTTTACTAAATTATTTTGTGACAGTGCTACAGTTTTGTTGCTTGTTCAGAGGAAGGAAACTCATTTATGCAACACGTTTGACATTTTCATTTCTCAGTTTTGATGATTAAAATGTGTAAACTGGTTTAAGATTTTTAGTGTCACAGCCATGATTTAGCCTTTATTTTTTACTTAACCATATCAAATTGATTTGAAATATATCATATCAAATCAAAAGTGCACTGTATTGAGATACATATTGTATTGTGGCCTATGTATCGACGTATGTATCGTATCGGCAACTTCTTAATAACAGCTAGCTCTAGTCTCCACTTGTTTCATTTATTGTGAAATGAAAAAGTTTATATTTTTCAACAACAATATTTACTTTTAGTCATAATGTCATTTTATTCACAGATTTAGTCTTTATGATTACTTTTTAGTCAGTAGGAATATGACATTGACAAAAATTACAATGAAAACATTTTATTCAATGGAATTCATGCAACAGGAAATGAATGTAAGTCAATGTAACGTCCCCGTGAAATCTAAAAAACCAGCATGTACGTGTGGATACGTGTGTGTTGCGGGGTCCTCGCTGAGATCCCCGGGTCTGTAGTTCCAGGTGCGCGCTGACAGTTGTGTTCAGATCAGAGGTCCTCTAACGTTGACACCGCTACAGGACAGCTCATGCCCCCCTCCAAACAATGTCACGGCAACCGACAGGGGCCACCCGCCGATCAAGCGCACCTGACCGCACTGCTCATGAGCTCCTCCACGCCCTCCTCTCCTCGACGCAAA